ATGGAATAAAAATATGGCCTTTTAGAGGGCAATTTTTAGAAAAAATTTCATTGTTGAACGTAGTGATGCACGAACCTAGATTATTGAATTTTAAAGTATATGCATATTCATTATAACCTCTTTTGTGTGTTATGATCATGCAGAAGTTGTTCTGTTTTGAATTTTTCAAATTTTATAAAAACTTGTTATCGATTAGGTGAATTGAAAATGATCACATTCACATAGGAAAATTTTAAAATATTTATCTAAACCACATACTGGTCTTTTCAATTTTAAACTTTCAGAATGAAAGCAGCACCACGTTGAAGAATGATGGAGATTGTTAAATTCCAATCATTATTAAAATCTATGTCATTCAAACAAGGTAATAGTAGGAAATCTAGCTTGTTTGCATGCAAGCTACGTGAGGCTCCTATTCGATAAGACACAACAGTCGATGTGGTTCCTTTTCAGTCTCATGTAGCCGCCAGTGGAACTACCAAAAAGCTAAAGTAATGCATGAATCAAAATCAAAATACTCATAATCTATTCATTGCGCTTTAAGGGAGAAAAGTGAGGGGTGTTTCTGATGGATGATTCTATATTTCAATTGAACGTGTACGTTTGTTTGTTTGTTATTTTTTCAAGATGAGAATGTAAATAAGAATATTTTTTTTAATCAGACATCAGGAAAGGAATGTACTCATGCAAGGATTTCACGCTATAAATGATAGTTCTCATTACTCTTTGGAAAAATCTAGATAGGAAAATTTTTATTATAAAAGACCTTTTGGAACCGCCTTGTAAATTGACTTGTATATTTTCTGACTTTATCGACCGACTGACTTGTTAGTCTTGCTCCAAACATAGGTTACGAAAAGTCCTCTACCATATATCTATCAAGTAAACAGTGGCTTCTTTCCTGGTCTGCCAATGCAATAGAGCTTTGATTCATTGTAATTTGTCACAGAATAGTGGACCAGAACATACATGTTTGTCTGCCGTTATATATCGCATCCTTGATCATTCGCAAGATGTTGTAACAAGTTTATTTTCAAGTTTATTTTTGTCTATATATTTGAAGGTACAACAGCGGTCTAGTCGAAATCTCCCATGGAAATTCTGAGTAGAGGGTAACGTTGACGTTATCGGAAGCTATCTGACGTTACCCTCTACCCTGTACCCTCTAAAGTTCACAGCAAGTCTCGATACGATCAAAATCGTACACCATTTCAATATATTAATTTGACATCTGCACCCGCTCGATGACATGACATAGCACGTGAGAAGTAGGATCTCTAGATGGCAAAGCCTCCATCGTTCAGTATATACTTAAGAAGAGAAACATAACACGGAACAACCACTCCTAGAACGGGACAGGACCTGAGCAAATTCGGAAGCTCGGCCGTAGGCTCTAGAGTCTAGACATGTGCTGTTATGAGTACTGGCACGACCAATGACGGGACAGTACTCCTCTAAGCGGACGGGACATATCAAGGAGCAACGAGTGAGAAACGAGTGAGATTCTCCTCGGGATATCCGTCTATATGTCCCTTCGGTTTTGGATTCTGAGTGCGTCGACCTTCGACTTCATCCGCGAGAAGCGATGTCCGGGGGATGTTATTCGGTACAGCAGCATGCTTGTGTGAATTAGCCTGCTGCGATCTGAAAGTGCTTCTACTTTGCTTGCACGTTCCGAGTGAACAAAATGGTGTTGTTTCTTTGTCAGTCTATCTGGCCTCAGAAGTGGGTCCAGGAGTCGAGGTCAAATCTTAAAATCTTCCTGAAAGCACGTGTCACCAGATCTGTGTCTGCAAGCACTCGTATTTTCATTCTGTGGGGAAGTCACGTTGAATTAGATTGGCGCCTTTTGCTGGCGCATTCGGAGGTTCGTCTATGAAGTAAGCTTTTCGTTGGTAACAGACAATGCAATGGGTGGGAAAAATGTGTAATGTAGTGGAGGACCCGACTCGCAGTTGAATTAGTTTCACACTCCTGAGCATTGAATGGCTTTTCGGGTATATATTTCTGGCTTTTCTTTCCCACCCGTTCGAGATCCAAATGGCATAAATCACGCTAAGGCGTCTAGCTGCAAAAGACACAAGAATTTCGACAAGACTCATGGGAACTCGGTTGTTTCGGTCGGAACCGACCGAAAAAACGTGTACCGCAGATTGAAGTTCCAAAATTCGCGGTGCTGGTGAATCCATTCCAACCCCGAGCCTTAATTCTGCGCCACACATGAATGCAGGACCGTTAGGAGCTTCTATTCAATGCCATATCCTGTTTCAACTTAAAGAAAGCATAAGTAACAAATTATTGAATTCAAACGACCTTATTCTCGACTAATTTTCTGCAGAAAGAGAATTTCGCTTCAGAAAAGAGTCTGTGATAATATTAGACCGCAACAATGTTGATGCACTAGGCCCTCGATTGTTCGATAAATCTCAGACTTCTCCTCTGGAAAGTGGACGGAGAATCCTTGGAAGCTGGCAGAGGGACGAGTGCACCTGTACTTCTCATCATCTCATTGTTCCGTCTTGCTCAGGACCTGTGAATAAATGTTCAAAGTCTCCTCCCTCAGCATGGCCATGCACAAGACTCACTGATTGATATCAGTCCCCACCGTGATTGATTCCACAAACCATCACATTCTGCCTAGTGACTGCGCCTGAAGCTAACGAATGGTTCGGTGTTGTCATGCTGACGACAGAGTGAAATCTGACTGTCAGTGACCTGCTGTGGTTCAAAACGCTTCCCATGCTGCCCTGAACATCTTCTGATTTTATCGGTGTCGGAGTATACTAACCGTGGACTTCAATATTTGACCTCAAACTTTGAGCAGTACCCCTCAGCCAAATTCATTTACCCCTCATGAGTGTATAAAGTTGCGTTATGATGAGATTCGTGTGTACGTTTGGTTTAAAATATATCTGCTTCGCTCGTGCTTTGACTCGGATCTCTCTCTCTCTTCGTCTTGAAGTTGTCAGTAGCGTTGGTTCTCTGTTCCTAGATCTTCACCTATCACTTATTCTGTCCATTACCCTGGTGGGATTTAACTGGACTTTGAGTTTTCATCATTCATTATTCGTACTCTGCAGGCTTCGTGATCCTTTCTTACAAGATAGATCTTGTGTCTCGTGTCTCCGCCGAAGACGACTCCACTTGGGAGAACAGTCCCATGCACCATCAATTCGCACACACTTAAAGCTTTCATTTACAGTGCTCGAATCCTTCTTTTGTATTTCTTTTCCAATATTGTGCACCACCTTTCTCAATTTCTCAGCGAGAGGTGTCAGGAACTGATCTTCTCAATTTCCGGCTTTTTAACTCTCTCGTCGTTCTTCATTCTTCTTTCCTTGCTTTTGTGTAATTTGTTTATGTGTGAAGTCCATGTTCGTTTGACCAATTTCAACGTGGAAGACTAAGCAGGTCAATATTCATTAGGCTCATGTTAGGAGAGGATGTGGGTTTGAGGATGCCCACGACCACCACGAATCCCTTTAGTCTTCTTTCGTTGTTCTTTCCAAGTCTAAATGGTCTCCCAAATTTCAGCTGCCAGCTTACTCGATTGTGCCCAAACGCGAAGAGGAAGCTGCATACGCTTTTCGACCCTGGGCTTTGACGGTCACCATTGAACAGCAAAGCGCGCATATCCTAAGAGCATGTAACCCAGCTTTCATCGTACCCAACTAACATATCCAGCTCCACAGATCAGTTGAGTGCTAGAAGCTTATTCCACCCCTCGCAGGTAAAGTCGTTGCTTGGATTTCGCCTCCTATATCTCTTGTTGAAAGTGGAGTAGCTGATGGCTGAAGGGTGATTTGCTTGCAGTTTGTTTCCCATGCGAGGCATGTGCATCACAAGCCTTGTATGACCGAATCTGTCTGTTTATATCTATCTGTTGTAGTATTCTTGTATTTGATTCCATGTATTTTGTGACATGGTCTCTGCTCCTATGTATACCGAGTTCATCTGACTTATACGTACTGGAAAAAATACTATACAACGTCTCTACCCCTTCATAGTTGCTAAATATAGGTCTGAATATGTGAGGACCCCAGAGTTGGCTCTGGGGTTCTATCGGGCACATGTGGCAGGTGTGAGGAATTTGATTTGGTGTATGTCTGGTTTATTTGTGGGAACTACCGTAGCATCCTTGTCATCTTTGTATGAATTTATTTGCATGCTATTGTTGTGGCTCTACTAGTGTAACAAACATCGCCCTGTAAAGCAAGTCAGGACGCAGGGCCGAGTGATAGCGAAATGTGCAGTGACCTGGATCGACAGCCGCTCGAGTCTCGAGAGATCAACTCGCCACTCTCTGGGTGGCTTGATCACAGAGAATGTATACAACGTGTTGGTCGGAGTTTCGAATGACTTATCTCCGTCGGTCATAGCCCCTTTACAGAAGTGCTTCTTCGCGGTGGGAAATGGCTGATTTCATGCTCGGGCTCGTTGATGTAAAAAGGAGAGGCTCCAAGATTATTTTAGATTTTTGTGATTAGGTGGTGTGAGGCAGAGGCGCATGCGCAGTTTGGTAATATTTACTACTGCGAGTACCGCACCCTGCTCCCTGCACTGCCTGCAGCAAGATGGTACGTGTTTCAAGGCCTGCAACTTCAGGACAGACCATTAATAATTGCCCTGAGAATCACGTGTACGAACTACAGCTGGGCCCGTCGTGGTGTTCTAATTATTCACGTAATTCTACGATGGGTCTCCATGTTGCATACTGGATTAGGACCCGAAATCGGGCTTATTATGCTTCTGGAGGTGCGGAGCTCTCGTACTAATTCTGGAGCTATCACAGCCTAAACTGCTGAAGTGGCTCAAGTATGTACGACGGGGAAGAGGTTTCCATGATGACAAAATCCTTCATCTTCGACAAGCCCCGAAAAGAGAACTTTACAAGGGTTACTGTTGACTGGTTTCTGACATGGTTAGAAAGTGTCATAGAATTCAAAGAATCAACAAAAGTGGGTGTTTTCATCAGGAACAAAATGTCTCAGTTTGAAATGATGGCCTGACCGGGCTGGGTGGCCATGGCCTGCTGGTTGCTGAGAGAGGGCAGCCTGAGATTGGCTCGGCTGGACATCTAGCGTCACTGAGTCATGGCCACATATTCCGCTTTGCATTGAATGAATCTGTGCATCAACATCGGTGCCGAGTCCAATAATGCTGAAACTCCTGAAGGAGGCCCAGCCATAATAACCTATACAGTTGCAAGTGTAGTGCATCCGGAGAGAGGAGTTTCCATGAATGCGTTGGTGGATGAAGACAGGCTTGTAACATTATGCTGACGGGAAGATCTTCGAGCAATGCAGAAAATTGCAGCGAGATCAAGTGGTGGTCTCGATCAGGAGAGCCAACTTCAGCTGTACCGCAACTCCCCGTCTGATAAACCGACGAACACTGATATTGATAAGCATGATATTGGCTTTTTACCCGTCGACATACGAGGTCGACCGCTGGTGCGCAAGGGCAATACGGGAACATGGAAAGCGGCCAGCTTCATTTTGGGTGAGTCAATCTTAGTGCGGTGTGCATGAGCTCCAGGGATCCCCCGTCATGCGATTTCTTCGTGTGATCGTAAACGTTTCAGCTCCCATTCCACATGTAAAGGTTATGGAGATCTTCCTTTCTGAAGTTTAAATGACACGTAGCTGTACGTTTGTTAGTTTGAGGTCATCACGCTTGACTCAAACGAGAAGTATTGAGCTGTTCGGCATGGGCGATTCAACATTTCTCACGGAACTCAAACTATCATAGTCGTCTTTGACCGCCGAATTGACTAAACGTGAAATCGGAGTGACGACTGGATTGGGGATCTCAGAACATAGCACTACGAGTACACAGATAGACTTCGAAAGTTGTTCATGCACTTTATCGTCAATCGAGAGATTTCCTTATATTTACCCCCAGGTTGAAATTACTGCCCAGAGAAGTAGGCAACTGCAATGCTAAATTTAGCAGGAATTGCTTACTTCTGACGAAGTAGTATACGATTTGCCCAGTGCTGAGTTGTTTCACGAGACCTACACTTGGATTGTGCGGGCAGATGAGGTTTTTGGCTTGACTGAACGCATTCATAACTGTCCTTGAAAGCTCGGGAAAATGTTACTGTTTGCAGTTATTGACCTGTCGTGTATGGCCTGACTCAGGAATGTAACCTCTCAACCTTCACACTCGACGATTCCATAGATCGGAATGTTCCATGATTAAAAATTGATGCTCTTAGAATTTCACAATTTTTTCGTCAATTTGAACAAATGCTCACGAGACAAGAACGGAACGTCTCAGTGACCACGGTGTATAATTCCTCTATGTGGTTTGTCAAAATAATCCGGATGGTGTATGAGATTTTTGTTCGCGTAGTAGGAGTTCTTGACTTTGTCATCATGCATGTTCACAACGCTAACCTGGAATACATTCGTTTGGTTACTCAGCCACGGAGATGGCGGAGAGAATGACATACATTGGATTGCTCTCCAATGCTGTGTCCTACCTGGTGTTCCGTATGCACCTGACGTTTCCGAAGGCGAGCGACCTCGTTACCAATGTGGCCGGGGCTTCCAATCTCACTCCTTTGCTGGGTGCTTTCGTGGCCGATGCTTACCTTGGGCGATTCTGGACAATACTTGTCTTCGGTATCATCTATCTCGTCGTAAGTGGTCGCAACTCAGCTGAAATCTTCAAGACATGCTCGACCTCACTTCATTCGGATTTCTCTCTTTCGAGTCTGACAGATTCTCTCTTGTAGCATAGGTGCACTTTTCAGTTTGAAGGGACTCATGTTCAAGTTTTTCATCGCCAGATATTAGTAGCTCTTCAGCTTCATCGTATTAATCTCGAAGAACATAAATCAGTCTGCCTTCACTGTTTCTCATCATTCATTCAACTGAGGAGACAATACTCGTGTCCAATTACCACAGAAAATCTTTCAGTTGTCCAAGGCTCATTTGCTGTCGGCGAGCATATTTCTGTGTAAATTATTCTCATTTCATACTCGAGACTGCACTGCTAAGTCGGGTAATCATGAAAAGACATTATTGCTCCAGATCAGCCTCTGTCAAATCTGCGGACCATGAAGGACCTGACTCTGTTCGAGCGATCAGCTTTCCAGTTGCAGCTCTGTGAAAGCCTGGTCATAGAGGAGCAAGCGCTGGCATTTCTTTCACACTCAGTTCTGCAGGGAACTTCAACTGATTACGCCAGTCTTGTTCTTTCAGGGACTGGTTCTGCTCGTGCTGGTGGCCTTCCTTCCGTCTCTAGCTCCGAGCAGCGCAGAATGCTCGGCATATCAAGCTGCATTAGGAAACTGCGAACCAGCGTCAGAAGGTCAGCTCACCGTCTTGTACCTGGCCCTGTATATTATCGCTTTGGGAACGGGAGGGATTACGCCGTGCGTGTCGGCATTCGGAGCGGACCAGTTCGATGAAGAGGATCCATCTGAGATGAAATATATGCCCTCTTACTTCAACGCATTCTACTTCTTCATCAGCGTTGGATCGCTTCTTTCCCTGACGCTTGTGGTGAACGTCTCGGATAGTATCGACTACAAATGGGGCTTCTTCATCATGCTTGTCAGCATGTTCGTGGCGCTGGTCATCTTCCTCATCGGAACGCCACGATACAGGCACAGACTGCCGAGTGCAAGACTCAGTCCCCTCACCAGAATAGCTCAAGTTACCGTGGCTTCGGCCAGGAAAATGCGGCTGAAAGCGCCAGAAAATGAGCAGGAATTATACGAGGTCTTCGACAAAGAATCAGCCATCGTAGGAAGTCGAAAGATCGTCCATACAAGCGACTACAGGTCTCTCTCTCTCTCTCTCTCTCTCTCTCTCTGTATTTGTATTCGTGACTTCGATTACTTCTTTTGCCCTTGGGGTCAGTGAGTCAGAAAGGTATATATATTTGAAAGGAGAGAGAACTTGACATTGCTTTATTTGGAGGTGAGTCGAAAGGATGATGTTTCAATCGATGTTTATAACCAGGCGCCGATGACAATCTCAATCTCGGCTTGTTGCGGTAAAATCAACTGATGCATGGCAGCATCGAAGATGATTCCTCTGTATTGATGACATCTATTGTTTTGAATCAGGTTCTTGGACAAGGCGGCCGTGCCGACGGAGGCGGAGAAGGACCAGATCAAGGAAAATCCGAAACTGATTCCGTCTCCGTGGAGACTATGCACGGTAACGCAGGTGGAAGAAGTGAAGGCACTTCTTGTAATGATGCCGATCTGGTGCACAGGAATCGTCACAAACATGGCGTTCATTCAGATAATCAACTTCGCTCTTCAGGGAGGAACTTCCATGAACCGGGAAGTTGCGGGCTTCGACGTGCCAGTCCCAACGCTGGCGTCCGTGGCCACGATTCTCGTCGCCATCGCTCTTCCGCTCTACAACCAATACTTCGTCCCGTTCATGAGCAGACTCACGGGCGACACGCGAGGCATTTCGCTCCTGCAGCGCCAGGGCGTGGGCCAGCTCGTCATGACGGTGGGCCTCCTAGCCGCGGGAGTCCTCGAGAACAGAAGACGAGCCCAAGCGTGGGCACTCGGCAAGCAGTCCAACCCTCTGGCCAGCCTCCCGATCAGCGGATTCTGGAACGTGCCCATCTTCTCGCTCATAGGCTTGGGCGAGGTGTTCGCCATGGTGGGGCAGATGGAGTTCTTCTACGACCAAGCTCCCGACGCCATGCGCAGCGTGGGAGTGGCCATCTTCACGGCCAACGGCGGAATCGGAGCCTTCATGGGCAGCGCTATCGTGCACATCGTCAACAAAGTCACGCCCTCGCCTGGCTGGGTCGCGGTCAACATCAACCTCGGGCACATGGACTACTACTACTTCTTCGTCGCCGTGCTCAATCTGGCCAACTTCTTCTTATTTCTCTGGTTCGCGCATCGGTACAAGTACAAAATCGTCTCCAAGAGCACCAAACGCGAGGCGGTCTTGCTCAAAGCCCTGCACCAGGAGAATGCTCACGATCATGCCCATGCCGGCCCCGCGACGGTCGGCGTGGCTCCTTCAGATTCCCGATTATACTGACCTCGCTTCTGTACATCGAGAGTAGTGCTCAATCACCTGAACTAGGAGAGTTTGAGCCTAATTCTCTACTATCGAGGCCCAGCTTAGCCCCCGGAAATTGCGCTGTGAATGTCCATCTGATCCGACTCACAAGGCACCTGTCCTCGTACTTCTGCAGCCTTAAATCTTCTGCCGGATCAAATCGAACCTGTTGTACACACCGGCTGTGTAACTCTCGCACATTCGGGAAGATATTCACGAAGACGTACGGGCAGAGTCTGCACCGTCGACGTTCACTGTGGCCCAGATGTCCGAGAAGAGTTCACCTCCAGACTGCGGCGAGGAAGATCTCGGGGAAACTGCAACTCAAAGCCCCGCATTTTTCAAAACTGTACTTGTCTCGTCTAAATGTCGGACACTTAATTAATATTAACTTCCCAATTTCTCAACGCAGAGTGCATTTGACGGCCGAATCGATCGTAGGTTCCCTGTAATAAAACTTCTTGTGCATGGAATCATTGCATGATGTCCACATTTCATACAGTACGCATGTCTCTTTTCGAAAACATATCTCATTGAATTGCAAGAACTGCAAACTTTGGATAATAATTTTATACATATACTCTCGATTAACTTCATTAACATTAACCTAAATCTAAAGACAAAGATAATAAACTGTTTTTAGATATTATGCTCTATACAAAATTCTGTTATTAAGATAGACACGTGTGTTGAAATACAAAAAATTGCAAAACATGACTTCTTAGTTATTTAATCTTTTTTAACATTTTGGATCACTATATATTTATTTTGAAGTTCTATAGCATAAAAATATTGTCAACTGATGGTTGACTCTAATTTTATCAAGAAAGCAAGGAAAAATCAAATTATCACAAGAAACTTAGAAGTCTTGATTATCGTTTCTTAGTTCTGAAATTAGGCGATGAATGCACAATTATAACTTGATATTATGATTTTTACTTCGCAAGATAGAACTATTAATTTTAATGACACCTATGAGAATACATCAAAGTCCAGATACTGCATGTTTGAGTTTGTCATAGAATTAACATAAATATTGAGATTGTACAATCACTTCCTGAACATGAAACAAACCATGCACATACAAAAGATCTACTCTCAATAAAATATCAAGGGATTTTTTTTAAATATTTCCTACAAACTTAAAAAAAATGGAAATGAAATTTTCATTACTAAATTGATATTAAGTAATATTAACAAGAAATTATTTTTTTAATTTTATCCAAATATTTAGATTCAACCCTACAAAATGTACTGAACATTTATTTTAAATACTTTCATAGTCAATATATATAATGAAAAAGAATATCAAATCAAAAGTACAATGTAAATGCAGACACAACTAGGAAATACACATGATCAGTATGAAAACCGAGAATAAATGTAACTTTTAGACTCACATTCAAATCAACAAATTCTATTTGTAGTTTTCTTTTACATTATTTGAATAAAAATAAAAATAAAATTATATCATGATACAATGAAGCTTTCTACTCTTAAATTATAAGTCTCAGATTTATTTTTTTCTAAAATTTGACAAAGAAAAATTCACATATTCATAACCTTATCATTTTTTCAAATAACTGAAATATTTTATGCACTTATATACATTGTGTTTAATTGGAGACTGTTTTGGTGAATGAATATCAGTCCATGAAATAGATTTTGTGTGTTATAACATGTCAATGAATATGTAGAAAAATCTTGCTGAACAATAATGTACATACGAATAGATGTGAATTACTTTTACATTCATCAAGAATACATTGCAAAGACTATAAACAAAGATTTAAAACATATATGATGAAATTATAAGTAAGGTTGCTTGAAAATTATTTACTTATTGGATTATAATCCAATAAAATAATCTTTCAGTATTTTTACATTCAAAATCTATTTCAAAATTGTATGTTTTTAGAGAAATTGGAATTAAAAATATATGAATATAGCTTACAAAATTTAAGAATCGCGTCATACTAAAAATTTTAAAATAAATACCAGTAATAGTAATACCATGGATTAATTTTAATTACATAGAAAATATTAAGCATGTGATTATTCTTTTATTTTATTTCTATTGACAATAAAAATTATTGCTTTATTTTGATATCAATAGCAAAATTGCAAATGTGAAAACTGTGCTGAATATCATAGATGATTGATTAGCTGAAAATAAAGCAAGTGATTACCCTCATAACTTTTTTTCTTAAAAATTTGCAATAATATATGAAAAGCATTCATATTTTTATATATGAAAATAAATATAAAAATTTATAAATTGAAAAGATAAGTAAAATGCAATGTCCCAATTCCATTTTTTCTGAATTTTTTTATCGAAGAAAAATATAATTCTATAACTAATTTTATTGGTTAAATTTTAATTAAACCATAGAGTTTTTTTAAATAATTGAAATAAAATATTATATATACAACACGTTTATAATATCATATAAGTCAGATGCTAGCATATGTTACAATAATCCATACAAGAAACAAATCAAGAAATTTTGGAAAAAACAATTAAGCTTTAAATGGAAATACCTTTGTATTTTTTTGTAGCATTATAATGAAAAAAGTTTCTATTTGAAATGTTGTAAAATTTTGTGATTGTGATAAGTTGTGATACAAATTCAAATGAATGAATAAAGTTGCAAAGTCTTCGGAGTAGCAAATTGTTTGACTCCAGATTGAGAAGCGATTGATTTTGGATCACTTAACAAAAAGATGCATTTATATTATTTGTATTTTTGTGACAAGCAAGTGTGTAAACGATGACAATGGGGATTTCACCATTGACTTCATTGTCATGTCATATTAGCGCAGTAAAAAATCCGATATTTTCAGTTATCACAAATCTTCACACACTGTAGATTTTATTACACAAAGTGGAGATTCTTTTTGCAGATTGTTTTGCATGGCTATAATGCAAACTTGATGGGGCTACTCTGAGGTCAATTATGGTCGGGGTCAAAAAGCAGAAGCCATTTCATGCTGAAGCACGCTGTTGTAACCGTGTCATCAGGCTAATTTTTACTCTATGCTAAAAAATACAAGTAATAACGAAAAATACGTTCGGAAGTTCCTTAGAAAGGAAAAAGAAAAAGTGAACTTAATGAAAAATTGGCCTACATAGGAATTACATCATCTTCGTGTAATATCTCAAAAATCGAAGTTCGTCGGCCATACCACACTCACTTTCATTACCTACTTATATACATTACAGTTTTACAACTTACTGGGATGACATTATCATTCAATCTAACAAGAGCACTGAATCAGCAATCAATCAAACAACAATCAAGTAAACCGATGATATTTGCTGAGATCTCTACAATGGATAGACTAGCTGAAGTACGTAGTGAGAATATTTAGGTAGCAGAGTGCATATTCTCTACGTGATGGCTACAGGTCCAGCCCTATATAACTCCTTTGGTTTCCCATGCAAAACTTCACTTTGTTTAGTCAGACATTTCTGAATGCTGTTGATTTGAACAATGAAACGATCGTACTTGTGGTTGGTACACTATGCAGTCAACCTGAAGTGCGCTGACGAACATATACCTGGCGACGAATCAAATCTAATGGAAAGGAAAAGGCACTCGCCCTGGACGTCACATACGAGTCTCGAGAGAGTGGTCCGAAACTGTGCATCATGTGATGAATGATGGATGAATGACAGGGTGAGCTGGGATGGGATGGGATGCGCAATGTAGCAGGAGGAAAAATTCAAAAGTTTAAAAATGCGAGTGAACAGTGGAGTGAAGCGTGCCGCGGCGAAAGAGAGGGCGACGACCGAAAGAAAGGAGCGATAAAAAGTGATGAAAGACGACGAGCAGTCGGAACCGGGAGTTTCTGACGAATGAACGCCAGCTTGTACAATCCTGTCGAGGCAGTTCGCTCGATCGCTTCCTCTCTTTTCTCCTCCTCTCCTCTCCTCTCCTCTCCAGATCCACGCGCAGATTGGGTGAGAGAGGGAGAGAGTGAGAGGAAGAGTGGGAACTGACTGCGGACGCTACAAGCATTCCCTTCGTCCTCTTCTCGTGACTGAAGGCGACGAGCAGCGCCAAACGGTCTGTCTATTTTGTTCGATTTTCGTCGCTTTCTCATCCGCCCCTACCGTCGAGAAGATTTGTTGTAGTTTCATGCAAATGTCGTAGTCTTCGATATTTAACGGCATTCGCCCGTGGAATTGGCTCAGAGTTCGTGAGTTATGATGATCTATGAGGTGACGGAATGTGGGTGTAGGGTTTAGATGTCTGATCTATGAAGGAGTTGGGAGCTTCAGACTGTCGGTGCTGCCCATGTTTGGATGCTTGGAAGGTGAAGTTGGACTGCGCGTGTCGGAGGTTATTTGAGGTGCAGTATCTGCGCTGTGAAGGAGTAAATGTGGACGTTTATGTTTCGAGTTTGCGTTCGTGATATCAAGCTCCGGCAGATGGTAATGTCCTTTTGTGTCCTGAAGTAGGCTACTGAATTATGTGTTGGAACTCAAAATTCAGTAGCGCACCCAAATCATGATTTAATCATTCAAATCATTAAATTCTTTCCAGAAATAAGGATTTTGTTCTGCTGGACAAGATAGAGTGAAGGTGCTTACATTTCACGAGCTAGGCAGCAACTGGTGGAATCATATTTTGAATTTGTATTTAAAGTGACTCCTTGAAAGTTAAGGTTCAAAATTCTTTGTAGTTAGATATCCTAGCTCAACTTTGTTGCTAGACCCCTGTTGCAAAGAAGCTGGATTATTATACTTGAATATCATATGCATCATCATCACTTTCGTCCTGTCGTTTCATTTGCCAAAGTCGCTTTCTTTCGTCGTATTTCATTTCAAGGAGAACGCACATGTGTTGTCTGTCTTGGCTTTTGATTCTGTTGCCTTGTTAGGTCACGTACGGGTGAAGGTGATTGTGTCTAATTCTGTTGCTCATTTCAGTGTCATATCTTCTTGAAACCCCCAGCCTTTATTTCACCTTTCCCTACTTTGTTTGTTGAGAAAGTAGATAGCTGAGATTAAACCTTAGTCATTCTATGGTGAGACTTCAAAAATATTTGGGCCGATGCCGTGCACAATAGATCTTTCTTGTTACTCATTTTGTATTGGTATTACTATTCTACTACATGTATATATTCACTGGACGAAAACATAGCTATTGCCATCTTCTGACACACTCTACATTTTGCTCTTGTCCCAAGGTTTTATATCATGCTATTTTTCATCTTCTTCACACATATTCACAACGCACATTACCACAAGCGCTTCGTTCATACGGATTTAGCTTTTGTATCATGTAGAAAAATGGTCAAACTAGGTCAACTCGATTCTGGTGTATCCAAATTAGTTATGCAGATTCTGTTTACCATAAGTAGTAGTGAACCATTTTGAGCCTGCTACCTTTATCATACTTTGCTTGCCTTTACGACCCATTGATATATCATTGTTATATCTTCATATATAACTAAAACCCTTTCCTTCGACCTCCACGGTAAAATGAGTTCTTTTTTTTTTCTCTTTTTTTTTTCCTTCTCACGTGTTAAGCCCTTGAGGCTTGATCATGTGGCTCTGTACATATGTATATACTAGTTCTCAAGGACTATCCGTATGATTGTGCAGTTTACTGTCGAAGATATCTGAAGATTTCATGAACTTCGAGCTGAAATGGCGTTGGAAACTTGTGACTGAGGAGCAACAGGATTGTGCCCAACATGGCTATAGCGAGGACGGGAGTTTTTGTCGATGACTATTTGGAATGTAAGCCTTCTACAGCTGACATCCTTTTCTCATCTCTAATTGTCTCTTCCTGTTCCATCGTTTCTTCAAGATTCTAGTTAGAGGTTAAGAGTTTAGAAATCTGCCTCAGGTCTAGGCTACGCTTTTGGAGTTATTTACTCTGAGAATCATTTTTCTCTCTGCTGTTTCTTTTGCATCAAATATGCATCGAATGATCTTCCTTGTGCTCATGGTTTATTCTGATTCAGAAGGGCGGGTCGACTCTTCTGGTTTTTTCTCCAGTTGTTGTGTACTTAGAGCTCTTCCCCCCTGATTGATAGTTTTTTCGCTGAGGTGAATTTTGCCACTTCGTTGACTCTTTGCTATGGCAAAAATGTCTGTTGTGTCGATCATGCTTAATCACTGATCAAGACCTGGAATTTATCGCGTGCAGATTCCAGCTCTCTACCCGCAGAACTGCAGCGGCTTTTATCAACCATGAGGGAATTGGATGAACGTTCTCAGAGTATGTCTCTGTCTTTTTTAATTCTTGCTAGAGTAGTTTTTTCACGAGCTTGGTGACAGTTGATGAGATCGAGTTCAGTTACATATGATGTTGCTGTCTCTTTCTGGCTGCAAACAAACTCGTGGTTATCTTTTTCGATGAGGAACCCGATGATTTAACGCTGTTTCATAATAAATAGTGGAAGAAAAAGTTTAAGGATTCCCTAGGATTCTAACCTTGAACTTCTTTCAAGAGACTATATTATCCAGCGGACAGTCAGTAATTTGGAGTTTCTTACATCCTTAATTTTTGGGATATCCGATATTGAACCAACAATGCCCTTGCAGCAATGGTTTCTCAATTGCGGGATCAGACAAAGATGTGTTTAAATTTGCCCTCTCAACACTCCAAAAAGTCTACCCCTGAACAAGAGGAGGCTGTGGCGAAACTGCGGCGTGAAATAGAAGTCAATCAAGAAAATACTTACAGTCTGTGCACAGAAAAGGTTTTGCTGGCTCAGCAAGCCTATGATTTGGTGAGCTTTTCTATCATCTTCACCCACATGCACCGTTTGTTAGAAGAGTCCTCTTGATTTTAATGCACGAGTTAGACCCGTACTAAAATGCCTTCTAAAGAAGTTTCTGTATAACAGATTGATCAGCATGTAAGGAGATTGGATGAAGATTTGCACACCTTTGCTGATGATTTGAGACAAGGTACATTCTTAGACATCTCAGAGTCATGTTCTGTTTAGCCTAAGATCTTTGAAATCTTCTGAGATATTTGTTTCTAGTTTACAGGGTCTAGGAACTTTTTTGGTAAGCCTCACAGCGTTTTTGTGATTTGCTCATCATTATGAAGTCCCGTTTATGGTGTCCTTCCCATGGCTTTTTAATACGAAGTTGACAGACTGATGTGGCCCTCTGTCACATATGAAGTCTGATTTCTTTTGTTGACCAATGGTTTGATTACATATGCAACCAATGATGAAGTCATCAACTGTGTTGTAGAGGGAAAGATACCACAAGATGAACCTGCTATTCTGCCAATGCCAACCAGTCGGGAGGAAAAGAGGAAGGGTCAGTTTATGACCCCCCTCGCTAAGAGGTTGGGCATGGAAAGAGACAGGGATCGGGAGAGGGATCGGGACCGCGACAGAGAACGCGAAAGGGATCGTGAGCGAGACAGTGAGCTCATGCCTCCTCCTGGTAGTCACAAAAAGAAAAGTCTTCCACCGCCAACAGATGATGTTGATCAGCCAATTGATCCAAATGAGCCCACCTACTGCATTTGTGGCCAAGTGAGATTTGTACACTGTCTCATTGGAGAAGTGGGTGTAGGACTTGTAGAAAATCTGGCATATAATTGTGTGACGACTGTTTGTCTGTATCTCCAGGCCACTGGCTTTTCTTCACCATGCACATACATTCCTGTCATGTCATGAGCTAGAGAAGGATTTGACATGTGGATGCGATGAAGGCCTCAAACATGAGTCTATATATTCTCTGTTTCTTCAGCTTATTACAGCGTTGAGCGTAAGGCTTCAACATCGACTGAAAGTAACATATCAAAGTCTCCTACTTAAGCTCTACTGTTCATTCTGCGATGAACCTCCTTCGCTGGGAGTAGTGGTTGGTTGAACTCAATCTCATGATCTGCTGTTGTCGTAAAGACAATCTGGAATCTGGGGTTATGAAAGCTTGCTGTAGCACTGATGTGAACGGAAAGTTTCGTTGTTCAAATAGATCTGAACAACTTGTAGTCTGTAGCTCTATGGGAAAGTAAGACTTCCATACAGGTGCCAATCTCTCTGCTTCTCATGTTTCTGGTACCACACATCCAGGCTCAGACGTGTATGACCGGAAGACGCCTGGTCTGGAAATGAGTGTCATCTCGTTATCAGATCAGTCATATCAGGCTATTCTACCATACTTGAACACCTCCTATAAGTATTATCTTAAAAAACCTCCTATATGTATGCGTACTTTCTTTTGTTGCAGCAAATGTTGTACTTTGGTTTCGAAATTTGTCCTTGCTTTTCTGACAACGATGACTGGATGAGCAGGTGTCTTTCGGCGAAATGATAGCCTGCGATAATGAGCTTGTAAGTCTCTCTCGCGATTCTTCCATTTGTACAGATCTGAGATTTACTCAAACCTTGAAGAAACGAAAATTTGAGCCCTTTGTTATTCCCGTCATTTGGTTACTCCTAGAGAGTTTCTTCCTCACAGCAATGCAGGTTCTCAATTTGATGACTTCTCTATCTTATATTTTAAGCCTGACTTTGTACCACACTGTCATCTGATTTTTGGAAACTAAAATCTTCATTGGCTTCTGCACCGCAGTGCAGCGGAGGAGAGTGGTTTCACTACCAGTGTGTAGGGTTAAGCTCTGAAACTCGTTTTAAGGGGAAATGGTACTGCCCATCCTGTAAAGCATTACAACGCAGGGGTCTTTTGGACCCTCCTCTATAGCAATATCCGAAGCCAATGTCACGCTCGAAGTTCATGGAATTGCATACAGATGACCTGTACCATGTATCCTGTATTTGATGGGAATCAGTTAACCCACAAAGTTGTACAAGTTGTAAAATTGAAGCTTTTGGGACATGTGAGTGTCCACCATCTTTTGAATCCTGTTCTCGGTTGCACTCTTCTCTGGAATGCGACTTTGTATACTTCTCATAAAGAGCAAAAGTGTTTGGATAGTTGCGGAATTTTCATGATGGAGCCTCAAACAAGTGATTCTATAGGTCTGAAGCAACCCGTATTTTACCTTGAAACTGAAGAAGAATTGTGTTTGCAAAGTTTGGGGACTAGAGTAAGTCAAGGTCCAACTAACCAGCTATAGTATGGAAATATCCCAGTTAGCCGACTAATAAGTCATCCTTACTAGAGTCTCACATCCAATTGTGTCCTGGTTCTGTTGATAAGGTATCGGAGTCATGTTCTGGTTTTGCGCAATTGCTTGCCTTGACCACGGTGTTTCGGAACCGCTTCAATACAGGTCCGAGACACTTGAAGCAAGATGTATCGAAAAATAGCAAGCAGGACGGGTAAGTGTTGCTGTTGCTGGTGAAAAATTTTGAAAGTGATCCAAGGGTAAGGTGATCATGGAGAACGTCTCCGTAGGAATTCATCATAGTGACTGAGGGATGTGGCTTGATCACAAATTGAGTTTTTCGAACTTCAGACCTTCTGCAACCTTTAGATCAGTAGTATGGTTTGAACATGGCAACTGCAGGTCGAGGATCCGGGCTGCAATTTTCTGCTTTGACATGCTTGTATACCATAAATGTAAGCTATCAGTAACATAAACAAAGATTTTCAATAAATGTTTTCATATCTCGTGGATTTATCTTCTCTAAAGTGGACTTTAACTAATACATTTATTAATAATACTGTTAGATGAACATTATGTTTATTTGAACCAATTTCTAAAGGATTTGTGCATTTCAGGTGGCTGTTTTGAATTGCATTTTGTCACGACAATCACTCATAGGTTCCGGTAAAAATATTTTAGCTTCATGGCTAGAGTACTACCTTGAGAGTACATCGGTGTGATAGTAGTGGTTCTTTCCACACTATAGCTATCAACTACTGGATAACAAATATTTGTATTAGAACATGGATAACGGTGGGTTGTAGTGTGTGGAATATCACATAGGATAAAATTAATTGTGTTGGTTTCGAACAAGTGTATTGTGCTCCCAGCTAATTTTCTCGCAAAGATACAAAAACAAAGTCTTCAGATGCGTGGTGAAATTGATTCTTGAGGAAACTCAAGTCAAGAGGAAGCGAAAAGCTTTTGGATTGGGAATCATAGGATTTAATATTTTTACATCCAGATATAAAAATATGAAATATCTTGTACAAAAGGTATTAATTAATGGTTATATTCATAACTTGGTATTGGAGTGAATGACATCTTCATTGTGAGAAATTGAGTTTGATCCCTTACTTACCTAGAAGAATTGGGACTCGCAGGCAGTGTGAATACAATATCCTCCCACTTAAATACACATACTGGTTAATTTTTTCAAAAGACCAGCATTCAAGTTTATTAATTTCAACACTTCGTGAATTGTCATTTGGTATAAGTTTTTAAGTCTCTTGCATTTGAATTTCAAAATGATAACCCGAACCTTACAATGAATCAATTCAAATATTTGTCTTAAATCATCCAATTTTCATCGCCTCTATTTGAACTATTAGTAGAGCAACTCATACTTTATATCAACAATTTGCTTATAAAATAATTCTAAAGTCTTTAAATACAACAACATTTGCTAAATCCAAATTTGAATCTTGACAAATAAGAATGTCACTATCATTTACATCATCCATATTTTCTTCGGAAATCTTTATCTTCTCCAAAAGCTATCGAACATCTTCGAAATGTGCAGTTTCAAATACTTCACTATTTTCGGTTCTTTATGAAGTGTCGTCGCACATTTCACTTGCGTTGATCCGTAGTCTTGCCACTCCTAGCAGGTTATATGCTGTAACTATACTTCTTACATCGTTCCCCACGCTTCATACCCACCCGTTACCGGGAGGGCATGGTGAAGTAGGAGCATCCCGTCGGCTGGGATGGCAGTAGCCCTGGGGTATGGACATGAACAAATTGTTCTTGCCCAGCAGATTGATTTGAAGCTGTGCAACTACGATCATTAAATCTTTAATTTTTTTCAATGCTTCATAATTGGTTTTTAATGTCATTATTTTTGACTTCACAATACATTTTTGACAGAATTTGAAAGCACAAATTGTCAAGTTTTTTTAATGTAATTTGCAACATCGACCAAGTGAATTGGAATTCCGTGTGCAACTCAAGAAGCATCACGTAGCATTTCCTATCCTTCCGTTTCAGTGAAAGTTTCATCTCCTGATCCAGTTCATAGAAGTCAAATACAACCTTGAGATAGGGATCATTGAACCTTTTCTTTAAAGCTACGATTATTAGCATATACTATAACTCTTTCCAACTTGTGCAATTTGGATAAGAGTAGGCGATACTAACATTCTCACTTTTGAAAGACTCAAATATCTCGGATATTGTCCATCAGCCAAATAATCCAACGTGTGAATTGTTTTTTCATCTCTGGAAAAAGAAACACTTCGTTGAATCATTTCCAACACATTTCAACGTTCATTCAAACTTTCACTTTATTGAGATATGAAATAGATCATTGACAATCCTCGATAAAGATTGATGTTTTTTATTTACCAATCAACGTCGAATGTATTTTGTGAATTCTTATAACGGTGACACAAATGATAAGAGAAATTTGATTCTTGGATTTTTTCTTCCCTCTCGTTGCTGATATGTACTCATTGTACATAGGTTGATTGTTTCTAGGTAGTAGAAAAAATACAAAAAGCCAGACTCCTCCATATTGTAAACGTTTTCATGATGATACTACGAGACTACAATCACATAGAGATTGTCTAAAGCTATCAACAATCCCTTTCCGTACATCAGCATCTTTTGCAACCCTCGACGCACTCTAAATCAACCTAGAAATTGCCAAAATGACCTGAAATTTAATTAGCTTTTTAAATTGATGCTATACTTTTTGCTTTGTCAATGTCATAAGATAGTGGAATCGGGAAATTGGAAACACGCTTGTTGTCTATCCATATGTAAAACACGTTTTCAATTTGGGTAAAACTACCAAAGAAAGATAAAAAATATTTCTTTAGCTTCATCACACATGAAAACGGATTGCTTTAGAATTTTTTCCTGTTTTATCTACACATTTCCGATAATTCCTTCACTATGCATATGCTATATTTCTTTTACAAGAAGCATTTATCTTCCTCAGCTTCTTGATCATATTACATCGCTAGGATTCATTGAGTCCTAGCGATTCATTGAGTCGATTTTCATTCGATTTTTTTGACTTTGCAGTTTTTTTATGGTCAATGACACTCCTTGAACCGTATCATCTTTGGTTTTTTCAGCAATGAGGTTTTCTACTACAATGCAATTTTTTTTATAATGAAACTTTGACAGGTTCTTTTAATAGTGCGGCTTCTACAATGCAAGTTTCTTCAAAAGAACAGTTGTTGGAGGAACGTGATTGGCGTCTTATGTTGAACATATATTTTGAACACGTACTAAGACTAGCAGTGTGATTTGATTTGCGCTACGCCCTTATATCTTATCCTTGGTGCTGCTCTACTCTAATGCCCGTGCGCTTGTAATCGAAATAGAACAATCGGATAAGGCTTCTTTATGATCGTATGAAATATGCACCTACTAGTTAAACACTCACATTACTTCTAGGTTCAAGTTGAATACTTAAACGAGAGAATACTATACCTGCTAAAATGACTTGAAGAGATTTTTTTTCTCAACTTGTATGAAGAATAGTCCCATGAAAAAACTTGAATATTTGATTTATAGTTTTATCTGTAACATTTTCAGTTATGCCATAGTATGTAATTCACTTGCCATCAAAAACACATTATTATTCATATAGATTTTGGATCACACTAAACAGATATGCAAATTTTGCATAAATAATACGGGTATAAATGTCACAACAATTGTATGTTTTTAGTACATGCTTTATTGTTGAATAGTAAGATCATAACATAATCTTACTATTCTTAGTTAAACTTTGTTTATTAAAAGATCTGTTATGTATTTTTTACTTTTGAAATATGTAGGTAAATAAAAATATTTAAATAAATTGAGATATGATAAAAAAATACATTGAATTTATTTCAAATTCTGAAGTAATCTGCTTGGTTTGATTAAATTAATCACACTAGGACTAAGACTACTACTAGTTGGCAAAAGTATACTAAAACACATTTGTGATTATGAAATGAATCACTTTGTCTTATATGGATGTGGTCCTAGTTGAACCTGCCTATTTTTAACGTATATATGATTTAAATCTAGATTAGTCCGCGGTCGTGTTACAATCAGAATAATTTCCTATCACTTCTAAATTATCTACTCAAGTCGTTTCAAACTCTCACATGCCAACTTTGACATGCATAGTCCATACAATTTTCAAACTTGAGTAACAAAGATTCAAAGTTTGTGTTAATCTAGCATATCAATGTACTTGAAGATCTTAATAGAAGCTCCTGCATTTGATGTCTATACATTTTAGGTGTTTTTCAACATGTACTTCCAATTGATGGAATATGAAAATTGTAATTTTACTTGGATAACATCCGATCATGCACTTTTGCATGATTTACGTATATATAGTAAATCGGGCTAGAATCTTCACATAAGAGAAAAACTATTATACGTACAATTATAAACACAACCCATCCATTAACCTGAGTTTCATATGAATCACATCTAACACATAAGTTATCTAACTGTTCTCAAGAATCATTCTCGTAGATACCTTTAAAACAAACCAAGAAAACACAGGAATATAGTAAAAAGAATGAGAATATCCTATGAAGTCATGTAGCAATGAAACCAAAAGATTAGGAACGGGCTAAGATTGGCTTAAATAATCGGATAGAAGATAAATTTCATCGAGATTAACATCTCAGTGGAATTCTTTTCATTCTGTACCCAAGACAAACTATTTGTTTAGATCAGACATTCTAAAACTAAGAAATCATAAAGCGATGTATAAACGTATTATCACATTACATGATTAATCTTGAATAGATTGCTACAACGAGGGATATTAGTAAATCAGTTGATACACATTGTCCAAAGTAATTTACACAGCATGCTAAAGAAAGTGTTACACGTTTTTACACGTTTTGCGTACCAAACTTCTATACACGCTCGACATAAGGCAGAGTTTATCAATTTTAAGAATAAAGTCCAATTACGACGCAAACTTCATCTTTAGGCTTAATGATTATAAATGACTTGGTACAGCAGACCAGTCTAAATTACAAGCATTTAAATACATATTAAAAAGTCAGAGATATTTCAGAGCCATTTAATATCGCGCACCGTAAGCATACCCTTATGCCGAACCTTCTGAACCAAGCATATCCTTTTGACGATAAGAGAAGCTGGAAATAACAATGGAATAAACTGAACTAATTACAACAACATACTTTTAAGATTCAAGTCTTTTTATAGAGACAGAATCGACAAGGGTCCTCTCACGATAACACCTGGGTTGAAAGAGTAAAGTGACTGGATTTCTGCTTCGGATATCCCGAATTTTCAAGGTAACGAATAAAAATCCCGTGTCGGAACGCCCTAAAACAGCAGCGTGCCGACAAGTGGGGGCATTCCGTCGACGGCCCAGGCTCCCCGTAGGATGGGCAGAGCGGAACGAAAACAGAAGTGGCGCGTGTGACGACGGGAGTGGACTCTGGAGAGGAAGGGAGAGGCGACTAGAGCCCGGGCTCTGGGCTGGATGGCGAGAGAGAGGGAGGGACAGAGAGAGTTGGGATTTGCTGCTACTGGTGCGAAGGCTACAACGCCTGCAACTGCTGGTCCTTGGCCGTAGCTGTGTCGGTCTGTTCGCGTCCGGTTACCGCATGTGTTTCTGAGTGTCCTCTTCGCCAGCGTGATCTCGCTTTCGCGTGTGTTCTCGCTGGCTCCTTCTCTGTTGTGCTCTCTCGTTGCTTCCTCTCGCTCATCCCCGCCCTCATTTGCGGTCGCTTTCCATGCTGCTGGACGTCGACGGAGATCTCAAATTTGTCGAATGTTTCAATTGGCTGGGTTCTCATAGCTTGGCTGCCGGGAATCTGGATCTTCAGCGCCAAGAAGATTAATTTTGTACTTCATATCCTTTGGAATCTTGGAAAAATTTTCGCCTGCACTGCGGGAGTATTTGGTCGATGAGGTGTGGAGTGTAGGTGACGCTGTTCAGGTTGGTGTCCTCATATCATATGTGCTTGTCCATGGTTGGGAGTGATTGTCTGAGATTCTGTGTTACTGGCGAAATTTGAATTTTCTTTTTCTGTTCGAATTGCTATTAGAAGAGACAGAATAACTGTTATTGTCCTCTTTCACGTGCCTTTGTGTGAAAGCGTTGTCCGTATGAACAACTGCAGGAATTTTGAGCAATGTCTGGGATGTACGAGCAATTCAGGACTCCTTCTGTTTGTTTAGTTTTTTGTACGTAGTTTTGTGAAAAGTTGCCTCAGCCCACCACAAGTATGGTGCCTGGAAATTTCAAACCTAATACTCGCCTGAGCAAGTATTACATAATGTAGATGCACGTCATTGCCTGTCCGGCACCCTATCTGTTTAATATCTGTAGAATTTCTCTATGGATTCAAGGGTCATTGCCTATCTGTGGTATTCAGTCAGCTGCAAAACCCTGTCTTCAGAGTGTAGTGTGTGAGCGTGTTTCTCTACGGAATCTCTTTCAGATGGTTATAGTCTCAGAGGACGTACCCTTGAGTTGTAGACTTCGGAGATTCTTCATTAACCCTCTGGCATTATTAGAACACTAGTACCAATACTTTCGTCTGAATCTGTTACATCTGGAAGTAAGTGCTTCAAAACGTAGTCGTTAATTCGTTAATATCTCCACTCATTCCTTGAGTTGCGGTTATCACATATATGTAGCATCGCGAATGCTGTCGAAGGAGAATTTCTCATGAACATTTAAAAAATGTTACCTTCTTTACTCAACCCGTTATTGTCAGAGTTCACTTACAGAAAGTCAGGTCTTTGAGTTTCAAGAGGTTGCGTTGTCGTTTTTTGCCAATCCTGCGTGAAGACGTAACGACAACGAAGGATGCAATAAATAGAGTCTATGCAATATAAGAATAAGACTGCTCAACGCTGTCATGTAAGTAGTTTAATGGTAATGCCGATCTTCGTATGTGACATCCTCTGTACCCTTGGGGCGAGAGCTGATGGAACTTGCTTGATTACACATCTCTTCGAACACAAAACTTATACACATGTTCTGAACATGGGTGGGGTGATTTGATTGTCTATATATTTGAACCTGCCGTGTGGAATTGCAGTGTTTCCAACATCTCAGAGAGAGTTCTCGGAGCAGAACATCTTGCCGTGAAGTCTTGATGACATGCTTTTCACTATCAGGGCGGGTGCTCATGTTATTTGCAGAATCTGGAGTTCGGAGAAACGGGTGGACACGAATTACAACAAGTCTAACAGATCTTTTATATTACAAGCGATTTTATGTCGCGAGAAACAGTTTTCGTTATTTCTGAAACAACGTCCTTGCGCAAATAAGGACGTTCTCAACAGTTTTAAGGAAACTGATTCACATTTTCGAGACCAAAATTATTACCTTGTGAAAGTGTCAGCATAAATTCTCAACTAGAGGAGCCGAAACTCATTCTTGATCATCAAGGGCTGCAACGAGTATAGTGATGGCTCATGCTCGAGATCTTTACAAGACAAAGCTGTGCACACTCTATCAAAGAGGAAATTGTCCTCGTCAAAGTTGCTCCTTCGCCCACGGAGATGCAGAACTTCGAAGGTTTTCGGGCGGTGGTGGATATCTCGGTACGGGTCTCTGGTTCAACTTGAGTCCTTATTATATTAGGCCACTTTTCTTCAGTTGAAAAATCTTATCGCCACAAAAGCTAAATCACGAGGTCAAAGAACGAGTATTTAGTTGATTTTGGTCTGTTGTGAGGTCTCCACTGAGATTGTGCACCTGCACCTGCCCGAGTTTCCTACTTCGGAGGATGAGGCTATGCTGATATTGGGTGAACCTTAAATTACTGCTTCAGAGATCATGGTCTTAATTTACTGAAAACGAATCAGCTGTATATGGTCGGCCTCCTTTATGGTCTTTCTCGTCTTCCGAGGACGGGTATTTTTTATCTCTATACATTCAAGTTGGGTGCGGCTTGATGTGAAATGAGTACGTTCTCACATTATCTCATATCGAGGAGGATGGACGTTGTTCGAGTAGTCTCGGACGGTCGTCCATCGATGCCAAACAATCGTAATATAGTGGTTGTTCAGCAGAGACGCCTCAACTCCATGGCAGAGGAGCTAGCTCTATGGATGGTGGTGCAGTCCTTGTAGTGGCGAGAAATGCATCTGCCTATGATAAATTTCAAGGAATGTGACTCTTATGCGTGTAGGTTGGGAATTGTAGGGGACCTCATTCCTGGAGATGATTTTGCAGATATTGCAGATGATATATTTTTTTATTATATGGGATGGAAGGCCGCGCCCGTCTTTTGATAACCTCTTCATTCTTTCTGGGCTTGAAGGCAGTCCCCTCTGATCGCATAGCATCCGTCATGTGATGCTGTATATGATGTCGCAAGAGAAGCTCGCAATTCTCCATGAACTTTACTATGTCTTAAAGCTGTGTCAACTATAAAGACTTGTCAACCGTGCTAAAGACTCCCCGAGAGATGGTCAAAGACAAATATATCATGTGGATTAGCGGGGGCGTATATTAGTCCTTTGTACCTGACTTGCTCTTAAAAAGCAGAGGAGGGCTGACTATTGGCAACATTAGTATTACTGCAACCCTTGGTAAGTAATCTGTGTGTAAATGTTGTTCCTTGGAATCCTCCTCTTAGTTAGACTTGGAATACGATAGGCCTACTCCGAGAATGTGCAGAGAATCTGAATAATGCTCATAAGTCAGAGGGAGGTGTATGGCAGGACGCCAGGAAAACCATCGGAGTGGAGACTTGTGGGATAGATTGGATCGACGTAGATCGCCTCTGCATCGGCGACGTTCCTTGAGCAGAGAGGGCCGAGGTGGCCGTCAGAGCAACCCTTCCGGTAGAAGATTTTCGCCTAGAGACAGAGGTATGATTGAATAAGTCACTTGTTGATGGAAGTTGCAGAAGTTTTACAGCTCAATTCTGTGTCTTCTATATTTCGTAACCAATGTCACTTGAAAGCTGGAATGCTAGGCCGCTCAACAAACACAAAATCAACCTCACTTAACTGACATGAACGCTACCTAGAAGACCATTTTTTGAAGGGACTTACGCTGGACTAAAATCCAGACTTGTTGACTTGTTCGACTTTTTATGGCGAAAGCTACGTTGTCCACCAAACAAAAGCCCTTATACAACAGCTTCCAATGAAGTTGTATACACGTGCTGACGGGATTACCTGCAGGCAGGAGCCGCTCGAGGTCATCACTACGACGCAGCAGAACCAGTCGATCTGTTTCACCTGAGAAATCTCCGTCGTATAAAAGGTTCACCTTCATTTTTACGTGTGCTTCCCTCCGACCCTATATGGTAATTTTGTTATGTCCGAAAGACTGCAGGAAGGTCTCCTTGTTGTCTACTTTGAACGGGATATTTGCATGGGGCAGTAGGTGGCTATTAATCGACGTGTTACTGACAATCTCAAATAGATCTGTCGCGAAAGTCGATTTTCCGAAGTGACTCCGAGACCTTCTGGTTTTTAATTTGAGGAATTTTGTACTAAAAAACTGACTGTAAGGATTGATCTCATGTCAGCCCTAGTATCTTAGATTTATGGCCCTATAGACGCCAGGGCCATCGGTCGAGCTCTTATGGTACAATCCAACATACGAAATTTAAAACTGGGGGCGGATTTTTTTTTGGCCTGAAGATGGGGGCGGATTTTCGAGGTTATCATTCAAGTCCCGATTTCTCTGGTTCGGGAGGTTTCTGAGTCTTAGTGAATGAAGAAGCGGGCTCAAACCCAAGCTTTTCGAATTTTATCTTTGGTCCAAGCATGCATCTAGATAGGTTACTGCACTTTCTCAGGGGAACCATCTCCATGTCGCATATGGTGACCTGGTAAGCCTAAAAAGCTTGAGGTGTATCTTTAGGATCCTGGCTTTCGTTGAGCCCATTAGCATAGCGTGGGCGCCACAGTAACCCACATGCGAGATTTGAGGAAAGGCATTGGTGGCATCGTCGAGACGAAAACATTTTGACAGGTCTTGTGAAGTTAAAGGCGAGCGGTGGTGTCTTTATACTCACAACCTCTCGATTCTTCCTGGATTCTTTTTCGCGTAAGAGAGATGTCAACACCTCACTCGTCTTCCTGCAATACTGCTTCTTGTCATTGCAGTGTCCAGTAAATATGTCGTGGTTATACTTTTGTCCTCGTTCTTTTACACGATGCTGACGTTTTTTTCGTTTACTTCTGTATCTTGTGTACTCGCATTCTCTAGTATCGTTGCTGTCACTTCGATTTTCGCTCATATATGTTCCCTTATGTGATTGGTGCCGACGAAGCCTGTGTTCGATTTGTATCGAACCTTGTCTAAATAATTTTATAGTTTTTTGTAATTGAATCCAGATTGCCTTCTTACTGTGAACTGTATGGCTAATAGTAACAGAGTGGGAAGAAGAAGTAATTGAGAGGAAGCGAGACGCCGAAGATGGAGTTTTTTCTAAGAGTGAAGAGATTTTGCACTCTATCAGATTTCTCTCAGTATATGAAGATCATTGGGCGTTTCCAGGTGTCAACCAAGACATCCATTACTGGTTCATCTTCCCGTGAAGTTTTCATACAAAAAACTTCACCAACGAGCAGCGGCTTTGGGCTTTGAATCAAAGCCTAGAAATTCCGAGTATGCTTCTGGTGCCACCAGCTGAAAGAAGTTGTGGTTTAATGTAGCTCTAATTCTGTCAAAGCTGCTGCATTTAACCAGCTGTACAGTTTAGTTCATCTCTCAGGTTCTAGTTTCTTATTATTCATAAAGACAATTCTCGCTCAGTTATAGCTGTCACTGTTTTGTTACTGAAGCTTGTGTTGGATCTGTATCCAGCCCTGCTTGAACATAATATTGGTTGTAGACATCTTGAGATTTTGTTTTTGTTGAAGGAGATACCGAAGAAAATGGTTATCTTCGGTACGTTCCATTATGTCAATGTTAATCTGTGCGATTCTTGCTAGAGCTGTTGTCTAAGCTTCAATGTACAGTATAATCAGTGATCGTTCGATTGTGACAGATACCTCTTATTCTGTCTTAATCATATCTTAGGTGGAGTCGCATGAACTGGTTCTCCAAAACACTTTTGTGCTAGAGCAATTTCCTGAGATGTACATTATTGACGACTCAAGACTTAGTCCTATGACTCTCTTTTAGTTTAACTCTGTGACGGTGGTTTGTTATCGTCATCACGTCCTGGATGACTGGATCGTACACGCGATCCATATACGATATGTTCATTAAGGTTCAGGGATTCTTTCTAACTAGAGGTTTGTTTGTAGTTCAAAGTTGGGTCTGTTATCGCATGCCTGGACTTTAGTATGGAAATGTCTTGTGATGTGCTCCGGACCTCTTGGTGGAAGCTTTAGCACTGCTTGAGTTGTGCAATGACTTACAACTGAGGTTTTTTTATCGGAATTCTATTGGTCTGTATGTTATTGCTAAATCTGTTGATGACAGTCGGGAGCTTTTCAAAATCCTGTGCTGTCTCTATTTACTTTATAAAGCCTAGATTAGACACGTAGAATTACTAAAATACTAAAACTCAGTGGAGATAAAACTAACAAACAAAAATACTAACAAAATTACCAAAACACAAAGCTTACCGGAGAAGGCTGAATCGGACTTCTTCAACTCCTGGTCAATCGAATAGTTGGGAGTACGGTAGTCCTCCTGAGCTTGGAGGAGAACACTAATCTATAAATGTTATAAAGTATAACTTCTTAGAGAGTTAGTTTATAAGAAAAGCTTCCCAAACAACATTAGTGTTAGGAATTATCTCTAAACTTTTTCTAACTTAGGCTTGTTTAGTAAAAATTAAGATTTGAGTCAATTGGTACTTTATAACTTATATATTGAGGAAAGAACACTTTAACGTAGCTGTGAGGTGCTCTCAGCCCCACATATGGGCGATCGCCTAACTTGAACGTAGCTGCGAGGTGCTCTCAGCCTATCAAGTGAGCGATTACCTCACTTCAACGTCAGGATAGTCGCAGAGTGTTCCTGTCTTACCAAACAAGCCCTGCTGAGTCTCTTTTGGTTGGTATCCTGCACAAGGTCTTTTGATTATTGACATTAGAGTACTAAACAATGCTCCTTCCGCTTTTTCGCAGTGACAGGAGAGAAACAAAAAGGATGAAGTTAGAACCATTAGATGTGCATTTGAGTGACGTATCGGATCATTATGTTGGAGATGTGAAATTTGAGGAAGAGGACAATGCTCGGTCATCAGCAAGATCTCCTTCCCCAAGTCCTAGAGACGCAATCTACGAACAGGTTCTCAGACTTGTAACCTCGTTTCAGTATGATATCATGCCAGATTATGTACCTGTACAATTAGATGAACAAACGTATGTTGGTTGACTTAAGAAGTCGAGTATTCACAATGTTTTATCCTTTGTGTTTCAGCTGTGCCAGATACAGCTCGAAAATGAAGTTATGGTTACCAACAAGTCGAAGCTTGAGGTCAGTTATATTTTGTTGAAAAACTTCGAACAATGAGGATTTTGTTTTATCCAATACCTTGCATCTTCTAATATGAAACATATACTTCATTTTGTTCCCGAGGACAATTTGTATGATGACACGATCTCAGTGAACACAAATATCGACTTCCCTGTAGGATGCAACCTAGTTTGTTCAATTTCATATGAAACTTTGTTGTCCGCGATTTACTTGAATGCCCACTTTACCATGCTGCTTCTGTCGCCAAATTCAAAGCACTTGCAATTTTCTGTTGCAATCTCAGAAACTTTGGTGGTGTATAGACTTTTGAAGAGCTACGTGTGTTCCGTGCCGAGAGTAGCATTTGAGACCTATACTGACTGAATTGCAAATTTCTAACACTCAATATCCGAGATATGAACATATTAGATGCACAATACCTGTGTGTTCTTCGAAGACATCTGACGGAAGGGCGGACTTCTATGCAGAAATATCTCGAAAAGATGAAAGAGGAACAAGGCGTTACATTAGCAAAGAATACTGAACTGGAATCCAAGTTGAGTACTTCACAGGAGGAAATTAGACGGTGAGTAAATTGGTATATATATTCTCAGCATAGTCTGGACTAAAAATCTTTTTAAATCTTTTTTACGCTGGCCCCATAGAAAATATATTAAGGGAGGGGCTAGTTATCCCTCTTTTTGGACTAATTAGCCCTCAGTCTAGTATACGCTCTTCTCCCATTCGTCCATCCTATAGGCTTCAGTGGCGGGCATTTATGAACGCTAACTTGTTCTTCTCACTTCCGGTGCCTTTCGTTCTGACACTCCGCGTCACATGTCACGCTTGCCACGGAGTGTCAAGCGTGACATGGCTTACGTTTGCCTCGTCAAAGTATGTCTGCCACGTGAAACCAATTCGCGCTAAAATCGCCAGCGAACATAGCTCGTTCGTAAACGAACGAGCTATGTTCGACATTGCAAGTGTGAGCTATGTTACTCTGTTCGAAAACGACACCCTCAACTGTAAATCCGTGAAGATTTCGATAGCTTCTTGACTGGGCCAAGGATCATGAGGTCATTAAACCTTTCACGTATGACTCGTACACATCACTAGTGCACATCACATTACCCAAAGAACTCGAATTACACTTGGAACCCGGTTTGAAGTTTACCTTTGGAACCCGGTTTGAAGTTTAGTGTGCTTGACTTTCCCAATTAAGTGGGACAAGGTGAAGAGATAAAAGATGTACTATATCCAAGCTGCCGTTCGGAGCTTGATGTGGGCGATGTCTGTACCAGACCCGATATCTCTTATGCTATTAGTTAAGTGGCTCCGTTTGTGAAAATCCTGGATTGATACACTGGAAGGTAGTAAAGAGGAGTTTCAGATATCTGAAAGTAACTCTCGAATTTGGCCTTGTGTTCACAAGGGTTGATAAACCATCCGGGTTGACTAGATGTTTTGATGCGGACCGGGGAGGTTGCCTTGACACGAAATTAAATTGATTCAACTCCTCGCGAAATTCCGTTGCTCGCAATTTCAACGCGAAACAAATTTACGTGAAAGACCAATCTTTGACAAGAAGCCATCGGAATCTTCACGATTTACAGGACCAGAGCATCATTGTTGAACAGAGGCGGTCGTGTCACTCTCACAGTTTGTTCACGAACGCAATTATTCACTAGAGATTTTAGCTTGAATTGGTTTCACTTGGCGGACATACTTTGACGAGGCAGGCGTAAGCCACGTCACGCTTGCCACGAGTGTCACAACGAAAGGCACAACAAGTTATAAGAACATTCGTTAGTGATGGTAGCGTCCACAAGTGCCGCGCTACTGGAGCCTATAGGATGGGCGAATGGGAGAAGAGCGAATACTAGACTGAGGGCTAATTAGCCTAAAGTGAGGGATAACTAGCCCCACCCTGTATTAATGCATAAAGCTAAGTATATGAAGTTAAAACAAGAACAATTAATTGTTCGTATCACCAGGAACAATCAATTGTCTAAATTGTCCTTATATTCATATGTGTGTCATAGGCTGGAGACCGTAGATCACAGGCTAAGCAATGCTAGATATAGCTGTACATTGTAAGTACATGTGTGCGATGTTGATGACTTGGTGCCTCTGTCACAGATGGAATAACAAGGTGAAGAAATTAGTTAAGCTATATATGCGCAACGTTCGCGCTCAAGAGGAGGTTAAGAAGTGAGTGTGTTGCAGTTTTGTTATGAAGGAAATCAAACTGGTGTCTGTTAGAAGCTCTCATCGTTCATCGATCTCACAGGGAGGAGAGGAGAACGTAGTAGAAGGCAGGAGTTGCATTCTGTGGTTGTTTTTCTGAGTTTTGACTCTAGTGGTTATTTTGTCACTTAGCTTTGCAAATTTTTGTGGGTACTTTTACTAGATTTCTACAATGCCTTATGTTGCAGATTCTAACTTGACGTCACTAATGAATGCAATTATGTACATTCATAGGTCACAGGCTAGATTACAGAAGTTTGCTGAAGACCTTTCAACAGAAGAAACCCATCGGTTAAGCACTCATGGCGAGGATTCGGATTTTTATAACCTCAGCGATGTCGAACCCGATCGACTAACAAATGGTGCTAAGGCTGAGGGTAGCTTTGCTTGCCACGCTATGGACGTGGATACGGAAGGAAACGCTTCAGTACAAAATGGTAGGTACCTTTTTTCTGGGCCTTACTTTGTTTCTTAGCTTCCATCTCACTCTTTAGATTAAGATATGAACAGGATATGCCTATACAACATTACATAATTCTTGCAACTACAGAGTTGTTTGTGATTTATTTTCGTGATATTGACCGGAGTTGGTTCTGAGGGCGGCATGACTTAGTCTCAAGAAATGAGATCTAGAAGAGCCTCGTTCCTTCTGTGTCATATTGTCAAGAGAAGTATACAAATTAATTTAATTATCTATTTCGTTAAACTCGCTTGATCCTCACTGCTTTACTGTCTTGCTGAAGGTCCAACTGGCTTCTATTACTCTGCTTCAGGTGCTCCAGGTGAGGCACCGGGTGACGTAGATACCAGTCAGCTGCATGATAGTGTGGCTATTGCCAAAAAAAAAAGACTTCATGCTGTAAGAGAGAAGACACGTGCATTAACTCGCAATATGCAACAAAATGGTGGGAACATTAGACTCAAATCGAATGAGGAAGAAGGTCATCCTGATCCCGAGATGACCCCAGCACTTACTTCCCCGGGAGGGAGCGAGAAACCTAGCAAAGTGGACATGTTCATGGCTACAGAAGCTGGAGCAGGCAAAGAGAGAATGGCTGGGGATGACTTGTCTCTATCACTGAGAAGCTCACCAGTAGAAAAGGTAAATATGCAGCCCTCTAGTCGCGTCACGGGTCTGTACGTGACTTCATGGCGTCAGGTGTCTTTTAGTCATTTGCTCAATTTCTTTGAAGTCAAGATCAGAAGCCACCTTTTTATTTGGGTATTTTTGGGGCCCATGCGAGATATTGAGAGCGGGTGACTTCTGCTCAGAGTTATTAATTTGATTTTTCAACTTTCATTGTTCTTGCTGTTTTTAGGTGAGACCTATACGATCTACACTAATGCTCTTTGCGGTAAGCACCCACACTTAGTTTAAGATCACTATCTGATGGGAATCAGTTCACGCCTCCCTTCGCCTCCATCCTCGAGTCCTTTCAGTATTTTCATGTTTTTTTCTTTCCGCATTTTCTACTTGGGATATAAGGTGAAGAGATGGCAGATCAAGTGTTTAAAACTCGTTTTTCTCTAGCTATCTCATTTCATCGTGCGTGCTCAACACTCAGGTTCCTTCAGAGCAGTGTCTTGGGTCCTCTGCGTCATATATTCGATCTGGAATTGTCATCTTGGGATCCGGTGATTCGTTGATTCTATTCCCTCGTAAATCCTTATATCCTTCTAATGGATTGCATATTTCAGGTCAAAAGTCGTGATGTAAGATCAAGTCTGCCCTCTACAGGCTTAGCAGCTCATGCTGGAGATTTTCAGCATGATACCGAGCTTGAAGAGGATATGACTTATCGCGGGAACGAGAGGGGCAGTAGAAATCCTAATCTGGACTTGGAGCTAGGCAAGTCTTATCAGATTGATGCAGATTGTTCTTATAGAATTTCTTCACCCCAATATCCTGTCAGTACTTTACCCTGAAGGCTGAGCATTATGATCGATGATCATTCCTAGGGAACCATTAGTTCAGTCCAATTTAGTCAGTCGTAAGTGTAGTCAGTAGCTAATTTTAACAACTTCCTCTCCTAAAGTCTCCTAGAAGTGACAAGATCCGCACCGAGTTCTGTCAAGCTGCAGGTGCATGCCAAGGTGGCAAATGAGCAATCGACGTCCAAGACGTGAATGATGGACAAGATGCCAAGGAGGACGGCGGATCCGGTTTGAGGGCACGTGGGAATTTGTAGCAGGCGTCATCCATATGAACTTTAAGTGCACTTAGATCGTTGACTTGCGCAATCGTAAGTGTAAGAAAATTGTTGTATAAGTAGTCTGCCCTCGTCGAATTCGCAACGCTGTGCAAGTGATTGGCGGCCAGATTGATTTATGGCATCTGTACTACTTCATGACTAGCGTCCTTGTGTGAACTTGTTGTCTAGAAACATCGGACGATCTCACTATGTATACATGCTTCGTCGCCACGGACGTATTTTAAAGGATGCAGTTTTCTAATGCGCCTCGTCGCTTCCCAGATGTTGCCTTCATGGGTATTGTTTCCGGTCCCATGGGTAAAAGATGCAAAGTCAAGGCTGGACTTAGTAGGCACTCATCGGACGTATCGCAGCAGGAGCATATACTAACAGTAAATTTTTGAAAATAGTTCGGCACCTTGATGTTTAGATTGAGCTTTGTTTATCTTTATGTTGCTATTTTGACGGTGTGAACGTCTGAACAATCAGGTATTATCAATAATTTCGCTTTCTTAGTTTGCGCGTTGCAGGTGGCGTTGATCTTCAGTGCAAAGGTGAAGTAAATATTACCGGCATGAGTGAGCATGCGCGGGCCTCAGCTACATTTCTTTTTTCACTAAACCCTCTTACTGATTGCAGGAAACAAGGTAGACTTGTTACAGTGTGTCACTTCAAAAAATAATTGAAAGAGTAGAGACGGATAGGACGTATTTAGTATGTGTGTCAAGAGGTTATGCTGCCTACATGGCTAAGACGCAGAGACAGGCCAAAAGGAACAATCATAAATGAATAACAACTGCAGACGATGAGAATAAGGAATATCATGTAAGGAGAGACTTCTTGTAAGATAACTGAAGTACATTCGTTGAGCCAAAAGCTGGTACGAACCAGAAAATTATGAAATCCAAATTTTAAGACCTAGTGATAGCTTTCACCTTCGTTGCTTGAAACTTATAATAATTGAAATTTAGAAAAATTGACAAATACTTCAGAATTTAGGTGTTATTAGTCTTCCCGCAGAGCAAAGAAATGGGTAAGATTTTATATTCTACAATATGTTCACGTGCATACCTTGTTGATTCAATAAATTCTTTATCCTGCATTGCACGCAATTAGTGCATCAGGTTTCACACACAACGATAATATTTTAATGTATGATATAATCCGTGCGGCGTGTAAAACAGGGTAGAATAATATATTATAACTGTAATCTATATAATTGTTTGGTGAATATAACACTGTAGAGTTTAATGATCCTTGATAAGTAACCAAATCAAATAAATGAAAACATTTACATGCATAAGTGACTCACTTTTCAGATAATACGCTCAAAATTGGTAACATCTCATCACTAGTGAAATCCTCATATCATACATTGAAATTATTCTCTTTTTTCGAAAGAACTTTGGTTTTTTTCAAAGGTTTCAACATTTTATTGTAATTTTTTTTATAAATAAATCTTAATTTTTTTTTTAATATTTTTGCATTTACAAAACACTATCGAATCAAGAAAATTATCGGATTTGATAATGAATAGCAAGATTAAATTACATTCTTTATTTGACCTAGTTAATTGTTTTGTTGAAGAAATAATTATAAGATAAATTTTATTTAAAATCTAAGACAGTTTGATTATAAAATATATTTTTTATACAATCTAAGTATTTCATTCTGTTAGTAACATTTATAACTAAATGTGAAATGATTTATTGTCATGATGAATATTTGCGATGTTAGTGTAATTTTATCTATTGAATGTTAATTGATTTTACAATTCAATATATCACAGTTCAATCTTTACAATAGATCTTGTATAATGTTATGTACAATGTAAATGTGATTAACATATTTGACGGAATAATGTTTTCCTGTTGATCTTTAACTTGATTTTCTAGAAGATGAAACTACCTATTGTTGTAATCCAAACCACCATCTTATGCAGATGAATTCAAATATAAATATCAATACATTTGTTGGTTATTTGTAATATTCAAATTTATCTAATACATACTTAGCGAATTCATGATTTTACATTGTACAATTAAACAGTAAACAATAGATTTACATCCAATGCAACTGCAATGATTGGAAATGTGTTTAAATGCATATGATGTATATGTAATGATCATAATGTGATGAGTGTCAAATTAAATGTTATGATTATAAACACAAGATTAATTTGTAATCATATCTCAATATGGAGCCTAAGATTCAAAAAGTCATGTTTGTAAAAGTGGTAAAAATGATTAAATCCAATATCTATACTTTCATCATGATGAAGTATAGCTCCTCATGATCTATTAATTGATTAAAGTTCAATTTAAAATCTATAGAGAATAAATTTTATAAGTTATGTATGTGCATTTTAGATTTTTCTTAACAAAAATGCAAAATTTCATTAATTGATAGTACCAAAAAATAAAATTGTATGCTATTTTATAAATATGTGTCATTAAACATTACGACTAGTTTTTCATGTAATGATTGATTTATTTGTCCAACTAACCATTGATAAACTTGTTAAAAAAATTTGGTTCATTACCATCATATAATAAATTTTTTTGATTACATATAAAGATTTGATAGAAATAAAAAATTAATGATTGATTAATCTAAGTATTAGTGTTGAATTCATTTTTAAAATTATCATAGATATGAAATGAAAAGTTTTGATGTAATTTTATAATCAAAAGAAAAAATATATGTGAAAATTAAACATATAAAACTAAATACGTTAAATTTTTTTTATTGATTTGTAATTTTAATATGAAATTATTTTTTAATAATTTATTTAGTATGAAAATATTTTTTTAAATTTTTTAAATAATCATGATGAAGAAAACATTGAATAATATTTCATAATGACAATATGAACATCTACATCATAATTTTTATTTCTTTAAAATCTCCATGAAAATCTATGAGTTGACATCTGAAATGATTTGATGTTGTTTTATTAGCACAAAATATTCAAAATTTTAGCAATGAAGTCAAATATTAGTTGATCATTTAGCTAGCTTAATTTCAATTAATTAGATTATTTAGTATCTTTGAATCCAAAAAAGCTGATTTAATGTCATCAAGGTAAATCAAATTTTTATCTTTGTGAGCTGAATGTGTAATTTTTTTTATGTTAATGATCTAACAATTAATATCAATAAAAACAAGAAGAAGTGTACAACGGTGTGCCGCTTGACACAAAAGTATGAAACAATCAAATTGATGTTGAGAATAATGATCTTTACTCTATCAAAGAAGCAGTTGCAATGCTAACGTTGTCTTGAAAATTTTTACAAGATGATTAACAATTTTTTTTTGAACTTAAAATAAGATCATATTCAATTAAAAATATGTATTTTAAATAAATCCAAGCATATTTGATGCAATAAAATTGTCAAGTGTTGCATCAAAACTAATGGATGACGTCTATTATTTTGTTGGTTATTGCATGAATATTAATCATCTGTACTTTGACAAAACATCTTATAGCATCCAAACTTTATTGAATACATATTTTGCAAGTTAAAAAGCTGCTTAAAGATTAACGTTATCATAACGAGTTTATTTCTTGTGTGTAGAATTTTCTATTAGTTTGATATCATATAATTATTTGATTAACTCTTGAAGTCAATCTTGCTCCAATTGACAAATCATGAGCATTTTATGTATTGAAGAATGTAATCATGTGAATTTGCAGCATTTGCATATTTTGCATGAAAGTTGAAAGTGCACACAAGACAAGAAAAATTTGAAGATTTTATTCCATCATGCTATGAAGTAAGTCAAACGTTAAGATTATGAAAATTTTGAAAACTATTCAAAATGACTTGTGTTGTTGCGAAAGTTCAAAATATACCAATGCAGAAATAGATGCTTATAATCAATAAAAAAAGTATTTGTTTAAACACATAATACAAATAACAATTTCAAAGTTTGTTGTACTCTCGGCGGATTGAACTAAATTCAAAAGGAATGTATATGAAATACGATATTAATTTATGCTGAAAATTGTTGGATTGAATAAGTATAAATCTAGAGCTCATGAACATTTATTTTTCTTCTAATCCTATATAAAAAGCCCTTTGACACAAAATGAAAACCTAGAGCTTACAGTGAAGCTCTTTGAACAAAACCAAACGTTAATATCAATTCTTGTATCATAATATTCGTTCTCGCAAATACCCTTGTTCAATCGATATAAATCACTGCCACACGAGTCGGATTGCATAAGCACGTATGATTTCATTCTTCTATTTAAAAGATTTGACTTGTGTTTTAGTGTGTGTATGTACGTGTCCGTTTGTTTAAACAGGAATATCAAATTTTAAAACAACTGATTGAATCTTTGAACTTTGATTCCCGTCTGCTAACAAGTGTGTAGAAGATTCATCAAGATCCAATTTGTGTTAATTTACTTCAATGTAATTTCAACAACACAAATTAAAATTCAGCCACACAGTATTGAATACTTCATGAGCGTTTTGAGCCAAGTAAAAAACAACAAGAAGATATTTAGATGCTATGATATTAATGATTAAAATATTTCACCAAAAAATAGCCAAAACATAAATACACACCAAAGATGCAATACTAGATTTTGTGTTTTGTTGTTCCAAGCTTTGTCAACAAAAACTATATCACTAATAGTCTTGTCTGTCGATAGTAATTATTAGTAATCAAAAAGCTGACCATGATTAGTATAGTTATGATTAAGTTTAGCTATGAATCCATACTACTCTAAATTTTGACATGTTGAATCTCAAACACATGTTGTATTTGCCTTGATTTGATCATAGTTTATTTTACTTCAAATTATTATGAACATTAAAATCTAATATACACTTAGACGTTTCCAAATACTTTATTTTAAATGCAAATTTAAGCTAATTCTTCCACGAATAGACGTAAACTTTATTCTTGGTCAAAAGAGTTTAAAATAACAAGATCAAAGTTTTCAATATTCAACTTATTCATCTGTATACATGAAGTGCATATAATCCATGTGTACACATATATCATTTTCAGCAATCTACAAATAATTTTATGTTGATCATTCTTCTCAAAGACAATTGATTGTTTTTAGAAAAATGGCAAATTTACATGAGCCAATTGATTGTATCATGTAAATTTGCTACTTCAAAGATTTATATAAAGGAGACGTAAATATAATCATTTAAATTGTAAGACACACGATTATGTATGAATTGATTGTAGAACTAATCAAATAGTTGATCATGATTTACTTAGTCATGAATAAGTTTAGCTAATTATGATTAAGATTAGTTATCAAATTTATACTTGGTGGAAAAATTTAGATACTCCAAAAGATTACAAATGAGCAATTTTATGTCATATCAAAATCTAAATTCTAATGATAAAATATCTTGATTAAATTTTATTTTTGCTAAATTTAACATTGTACGTAGTAAAATGTATATTGATTAAACTAAATCTAAAGTTTAAATTAGTGGCAAGTGTACATCTAAGAAGTTTTAAGGTCTCAAATGACATATCATCATCTTAATCTAAGATAAAAAAAGATTCTAAAATATTTTAAGTACATCAATTATCTAAATTCACGTGTAATTCCACTTATACTTATCAAACTCTATCTTAGGCTAAGTTATTTAGAAAATAAAACTATAAATTTTCATCATTATTTTTCAAATAGTTCTAAAAAGGTAGAGATTTGCTTCTCAAGCAAGTTTGAAGACTTTTTTATGTGAAAATTTTTTTCATCGATAAAAATTAATATTTGCAAATCATATTGCAATGTCAACTAGTGTGGATCATTGAATGAAAACATTGTGA